CAGCCTGCTTTCTTATGCAACACAGGCCCACCTGCCCAGGGGTGGCACCACCCACAGTGGGTTGGGCCTTCCCACATCACTCATCAAGAAGATGCCCCTCAGACATGGCCACAGGCCAGTCCAATAGAGGGAATTCCCCAATTGAGGCACCCTCAACCCAGGTGTGTCACGTTGACACTAAAGCTATCCAGCACATTCAGTTAGAAAAATTAGAAATTCTGAGCTCATCTAAGAGGCCTTTCTCAACACTTTTGTTTTAGAGATGCTCAGGAAGTAATTGGCTCCCTCAGTTCTTCTGTCTGTCATTCCTTAACCATGTCAAGCAAGCCTTTGCCTCAGTGACTGTGTGCCTGCACTTCCCTCTGCCTGGACCACACTTCCCCCTCATCCATCCATGTCTCTCCCCCCTTGTTCTTCCAGCATCACCTTCTCAAAATGACCTCCAAGCATCTCTCTACAATGCCATCTACCTAGTCCTCCAGTATCCCTCATCTCCCACATACTGCTTTATTTTCTCCACAGTTCTTATGATCATCTGACCTTCCAGATAGGTTTATCTCCCCTCTCTTTCTCTCCCCAAGGCTTGTGTTTTCTTTGCAAGACTAGAATCCAGCAAACCCCATCGATCCTCTGGCCACACTTAGAGCTGGTATTACAGACATTCATAAGACTCCCAGTCATGTGGGTACTGGGATCTGATGTCTGGTCCTCATGATTGTACAGCAAGCTCTCTTGACTGCTGAGGCAGCCTCCTCCACAGCCCAATCTCAGGCCTGGATTCCATTAGAAAACTTCTCTTCATAGGCTTGTATTTTACAGTGCATTTTTAGATTCGCCGTGGGTCAAATCCTGCTGTAGTCTATTCCTCACTTAACTTTGAGCAGCATATAATCTGATAACAACATAGCATGGTAGGAAAACCGTGCTTTCCTTGTGGGGACAAGGTCATGTCTGGATGGCTGGAAAAGCAATCTCATGCCTGTAGGAATTCTGAGCTCAGTGAACACAGACAGCATAAGATGCTGTCTTCCTCACAGCGGCAGCAAGCACATGAACTACATGATAGAATTCACTGTTGGTGCCAAGCTTGGTGAATCATTTGTCGCTCTCTGATATCAGTCCTCCCTCAGTGTTCACAGTTGCCCAGGATTTCACCTCTGTATTAGCTCTTGACACATCTTGGCATCTGTTCATTGCATGACATTCAAGACATTCCCAATTCAAGATAAACAGGGAGAGAGGAATGGATGTGTTCTCAGCTTTCAAGACGGATTTCACATTCTGTTGCCTGATTTCATTTCTGCACAAACCTAATTAACTAATTTGTGAAGCATTAGTGGAAATGGCTATGCATTTAGCCCCCTGAAAACAGAATCCAAGTCTTTTTTACCTGGTAAAATCCATACGCTTTCATACGAGTGATAGAATCTGCCAACATTTGTTGAATAGTTCTCGAAGAACTGGAGGGCGACTAAAAATTAAATAGAACACATTTTGTTTGCAACATTTAGAATGGCAAAGTGATTTCAGAAGCAAATCTGTCAATGCTTCCCACACAGCTGGAGTTACAAGTCTCCCTTTCCCCTGGCACCTGAGTTCCTGAGCTAAGCCCACCCATCAGCAGCATATGAAGCCCCAGCCCCTCTACTTGGTATGGAGTAGAAAAGAATGACTTCCTAAGAACCGGGAGCTGGTGGTTTGGTGTATCTAGTTCCATGAGGCCTTGGGGGGAGTGTCTTTAGATGCCTTCTAGACAATCAACATGACTTCTTAATTTAAACTCTCTTCTTGCTTGATCAAGGTCAGGCAAGATAAACATATTAGTCTTCAATATTAAGCTATATAATGTCTGTGTAAGACAGGAGCTATCTTTGGAACTCTAGTTTGGTAGCTGATCACCTACTTTCCCTGCCTGAGTCACATGCCTCCTCTCTCTCAGCCCTTGGTGTTGCAGGTTTTTGTTGCTCCAGATGGACTTCTAAGAGGCAAGTAGAGAAGAGAAAGATCTGTTGCTTGGATTCTCTAGAGCATTCCTTCCTTCCCCCCTGGCATTGTGACTGAGCTGGGAGATTCTAACAGATACCCCTTAAGACCAGGTCAGTTAGACTGGCCTTATTGCTTAGTCTTTGGGTACAGTTCTCAAGTCACGTCCCAGCATGGGCATTCACATGCCCTGTGTCACCCCACATAGCCACCCATAAGCAATATTACTGGGACTCACATGCCCTGTGCCAGAGGACTTATTCTTGCACTTTGGCACAAATCAGCAACTCTTCAGCAAAGGTCAATATCAATAAGTAATGAGGAGCAAGAAGAAGCTCATTATGTCATGAATAAACGGATGTGGGGAACACCAGCTATCTCAAGTACGTTCTTTCTTCTCAAGAGCTGAGCACGTGGCTATCCAGCTGCACCATCGCATTTCCCAGCTGCCCCAGCAGTTGGGTGTGCCCAGGTGAACAAGTTATTTCAACATTCTACAGCAGGTAACTGTCTGCCACCTCTATCCTGGTTCCTAAAACCTTCTTCACACATTCCTTCAGGCAGAAAACCCATTTCCCCTTCCATGGGTTGCAATGGCCACAGCAACTGAAGACAGCAGAGCCACCAAAAGCCCAAGCTCCAGAGTGACTGTGTGGAGCTAAGCCCTCCTGAGCCAGAACCATCCTGGACTGTTATGAGAGAAAACTAACCTTGTTGTGTTTTTCCATTATATCTTGGGCTGTTTCTTTAAAAAGTTTCATTGCCTCCATTGACAAACTGGCCACTAGACACTGACAACACATTTCAAGCTCTCGACTGAGATTTTATTTTACTTGTGATACCAGGAACCAAAGACCTCTGTGCGGTTCAAGTAATGCTAATTTTACTACTGATTACTAGCCACCGAAGTCCTATAATGGCCAGCTGCTCTATTAGTGATTTGGTATCATTTTAACGATGTATAATAGCTCTGACAACAGACTCCGTGTTCAGGTGAGGAAACTGAGTCTCAGAGCTGTGTGGAATCACTCAGCTGGCTTGTGCTGGAGCTTATGCCACTGCTGACGTTGTAGTGATAGGAAAAGCAGAAGCAGGCTGAAAGATTTCTTACACTTAAGACTTGGCAAAGTAATGAGTCTTAAGGTTTCCTAATCACCACCTACCATAATCTTTCTCCTATTTTCTTTCAATGTTAAAAAAGCATCAAAAATAAAGTACAGAAACTAGCTCCTTTATCACAAACAAGTTAGAACTGTTTTTTTCAAAAGTCCAGATGACTTTGAAAACTTTGGATGCTTTTCTATCCTAAGGGATGTGAGCTTTGAGAGCAGGCTCACACTTCTTTTCCTCATTGGTCTAAGATCCACGGTGCACTGCATAGTGAACAGGATCCATTTCTTGTCTATTGAAAACTAGGAGACAGGTAGGTAAACATCCCCCCTTGATACTTCCTCAGGCTAATGTTCCAAATATGTTTAGATGCACCCTCAGAATCAGAATATGAACCTATGGCCTATACTTTGGATCTTGAAAATGACCTCATGGATCCCTCTAGTCCATGGCGTCACTTGCATCTGGCACATGGTGTGTGCTTAGCCCTTTGATGTTTTGAGACTACCAACAACCTCATCCTACTGATAAATGCAAAAGCACTAACTGAGAAAACAATGTGGGAATACACTAGGTTACTAGTTCAAGGGGCACGGGGTGACTCACACAAGAGGTTTCGCATTCTATACCCGTGGCTCAAATGACATTACTCAGCAATAGATGAAAAGGGGGACTATTTATAAAAATAGACAACATTTCTAAATTGATGGGTCACTGTTAGATGCCTGGTAGCTTAATGCTAATTCAGGAAACAGCTAAGGGTGTGAAAGCTCAAAGGCTGGGCGTAGTGATGGAGGGTGTCAAGTTTATATCCTGGGTAGGGGAAATAGAATAACTTAGGCGAACACCAGGCTCCCCGTTCTGCTCTGTGGCTCAGTGGCTTGCCATTACAGATCACTTCTGTGCCCCGCCCACAGTCTCCATTGGCTTTCGTCCACACCTCATGGACCCGCGGTCTAAACCCAGGTGGGTAAATGCCCCCTCTCGTGTCCACACCAGGGAGACACCAGGGCCATTTTTCCCACTACGCCACTGCCAAGATGGCGCCAATGCTCCTCCCTCGGCGGCTAACTCTCCAAAGCCCATTCTCCCCAGTGGCCCCGCCCCTGGTCGGCTCACCCCCCTCCCAGGACCAAGTAACCCTCCCGACACACATACTTGGTTTCTTTGTATTTGGAATTTTAGTTCTTTTTTCAGAACCAAGATTCACAAGTTGAGTATCAAGGATAAAATTTTAGCAAGAAACTGAACAGTTTAGTAGCCAGCCTAGAGATGAACACTTCTATACCTTAATCACGCTATAAATTCTAAAGTTGCTCATACATACTAAGAAACACAACTATAAAAATTCTGCTTTTAAAAGTGAACGAAGAGTCACTATTATATCAAAGCGCTAATATACTATGAAGAATTTAGGATTTGTATAAAACTGGTTCGTTCTGAAACGTCTACATGTGTTCTACTAATTCTGAAAATACACGAAGTATAATACAATAATGTATCCAAAAGAAATTTCTGTTATTAGAAAGAAGCCAAATCAATAGACTCAAAAGCAGTGGCTTATGATGCCAATACAGAGGGAGACAAGCTTGTAAATGCTACTGTCATTCTACACACTGAGAAGAACAAAAAGCTGCTAAAGAGGGAACCAGGCCCCTTGTAGGTGATGAATATACCCTTCACTTATCTCATACAAAAGAAAAGGAGACAGTGTGCCATCTACCAATACAACTTTGGTTTATAAAGCACCTTCAAGTCCAATATGTCATTTGACCTTTATATCAAGTGTCAGAGCAGCTATTATTACTTTGCCCAACAGATAAGGTAATCTCTTTGTTGGTAAGAGGGCAGGGACTCAAATCCATGTTCATTCTGTGTCTAAAGCTTGTTCCTTCCATTCAGACCCCTAGAGGGAATGCGTGTCCCGCGTGTCTTTTCTCACACACATCAGCCTCCACAGTCATCCTACCTGTTACATTGCAGATTCCAGCATTTGCTGGAAGTCAATGGCTAAAGTTAAAGCAATCACATCTGGTTCATATTTTCTCTGTTTAAAAATTAACAGTACCACAAGTGTTTATGCAAAATCCTGCATTGTCTTTCTTTTTGCAAATAGAGAACTGGAAGCTAAAAACATCAGAAGCTAGAGGGCCTCCTGTAGACACCACGTCACAATAAAGATCTGAATTAGATCTGGGAGTGTAGCAATTCAGATTGGACAAATAGTAGTATTTTTTAAAGTGCTATTAAACTGGCAGTATAGTAATTCCATCTGCATAAGCACCTGGTTACAAACGTATGCCAGTGAGGCCATCAATATTATATATTGATGCATATGGTTGCAAATTGCAATTCCCCCAGGAAAATAGGTATCATATGAGAAGGATTATTCTAATTATTTTCACTTCTAAAACTTATTTTCAAAGCCATTCATTGAATATTCAGTTTGTTTAAAAATAGGGCTATATAATCAGACAAATGCCAAGGGCCCTTCGTTTCAATTAAACCAGAAGTCTCCAGTACAAAACAAACACTTTTTAGCAATTATATTTTTTTCCAAAGATGAAAATGAAAAGCTAACAGAAAATTAAGAACTTAGTTTAGGGGCTGAGAGATTGCTCAGTGGTTAAAAACACTGACTACTCTTGCAAAGGATCAGGATTCAATTCCCAGCACCCGCATGGCAGCTATCAACAGCCTGTTACTCCAGTTCTGGAGGAATTTGAAACCTTCTTCTGACCTCTGTGGCATTGCATGACATGGGTGAACTTACATAAATGCAGGCAATACACTTAAACACATAAAAATAATAAATAGTTTTTTTGTCTTTTTGAGACAGGGTCTCCCTGAGGCCCCGGCTGGCCTGGAACTCGATATGTAGACCAGGCTGAACTTGAACTCACAGAAATCCACCTGTCTCTGCCTCTCAAATGCTGGGATTAAAGGAGTGGGCCACCACGCCTGGCTAAAAATAATAAATAATTTTTATAGAAAGAACTTAAGAAAGAAATGACTAAGATTTAAATTATTCTATTCTCCTAGATCTCGTAAACCATCATACTCTATATTAGAATAACAATTAGAATAATAACCTCTGTGTGGGGAAATACCATGCCAGCTTGGCCCAGCATCACCTGGGTCCCCAGCAAACAGCACAGTGACCCACACTTAGCATCCTAAATATTAGATGAGCAAACAAACACACAAGAAATTCATGAAATACTTGCTCAATTATTAAAAAATATACAATCTACTTTTATAATTACACAGGGTGAATTCAAGTACTCTGAAAGTCACTGATCTCTAACTCATTTTATTAACCAGGTCAATGAGATAATCAAAGGCAAATAACAAGATGAAAATAGCATAATTTTATTG